GTTTGTGTACTCGTAGAAATGCACGAGTTCAGTGTCAGCCTGTAGCATGGGCTATTGATTTTGTGTCCACGTCACTAAAGGGTACTGGTTGCCATTAGGTAGCACATGACGACATCGCATCATCCATTTCTTGATAGTCCCCTTCACTTCTTACCTGGTGGTATCAGTGCTTAGACCACATTCGTACTCGATGGGTTTTCTTTTCACTTGACCGAACCGACGATGTCTTCTTTCAATAAGCTCTTATGAAATTGGTACTATCCCTAGAATGCCTCTTATGGAGATGTTTCGAATGTGGTCCTTTCTGTTGACACAACGCATCCATCTGAGCATTCGCATTTCTATCGAGCTCAGCTCTTGCTCACGTCTCTTCAGTGTAGCCAAACATTGCGCTCCGTAGAGAAGCACAGGTCTTACTGTCGTTCTATACACCCTCCCGTTCAGTCTGATGGACCTCTTCTTGTCGCACAGTACTCCACTCACTTCTCTCCACCACACGTTTTTTTTGACCAAGTCTTGATGGATGGGACGAAGAGACTTGAAGTCCTGGGCATAGTGCTCCATCTTACCGCTACGTTCACGGATCCATTAGCTTTCCTTCTGTTCTCCGTGCTGAAACAGCCCGCTATGTATTCCGAGTTGCTTTCACTGGCCGGAAGGCCAATTTGTCAAGGATTAGGATTTTGTTTCTACAGCTTCTATGCTTTCGCCGTTTAGCTCTGAGTCATCTGCATAAAGCATGCAATGAGGAGTTGCTTCCTGCAGATCTTTAGTTATAATGGCTGTCGTCGCAGAGAACAAAAATCCGCTCAATGCTGAACTTTGATTGACCCATTTCCGCACAGAGAATTCTTCGGTTTCGCCGCATTTACCTCGACCTATCGTTGTCACTCCATCGTACATGAGTCTAACTTTTTTCTTATGCCCCACCAATGCTCCTGGTGCTTTGGTATTCGATGGAGAACCCCATTCAGTTCTAAGAACAGCATGTGAATGTTATGACTGCTATATCTGTATGCCTCTGCCTTAAAACGGAGGTGGTGTCCGTGATTCACACGATCGATTCGTGATGGCCGGGCACAAAGCCGAATTGGTTCGCGGTGGTATCAATCTCCTTTCTCAGCCATTCTTCCAGTGCTCTTTCAGAAAGCTTTTTAGCACGCCAGTATACTCCTTTTCTATTTGAATATTGGCACCAAGATACGTTTCTTCTGATTCGGTTGGCAACATCCGTATTTGATGGCGATATGTACCCGCTATGTCACCGCACCGCCTTATCATCAGGCCTTCAGGTATTTTCTAGAGCCAACTTTGTGGCTCCGACCACACCCTCTTAAAACTCTCCTCATATTATCCGCAATTTTCTACTCGTCAACGTCTGCTTTTTTCACAGCCAACTCTCGCATCTGAAGGTTATTCCACTATCCGTAACCCGTTGACGTGCTCGGAGGCATATGACTTTGCCTCGACAGAAATATCAGGCTGAGGTAATGATGGAAATTTATACATTTTGACAAGTAAGTTCTCGCCGTCTGACGCTTAGTCATTGTCTCAACTTCAATCTCTCTCAAACTGAACTAATCATCCAGGCGTTTGTTCCTCAGAACTTTGTTTCCATGTCACTGAAGTTCTACGCTACGTATCAAAACATATCAAAACAATCATTCAACTTAAACTCAATCATCTTTTCTACTGAAAATCCTTAGTTCTAGAACATATGTTTAGTACATGAACTACAGCTAAAATGATTTCCTCTGAAAGTCACCTTATGAAGGTGAGGAGTACCTGGAAATAAGGCTTTCCAGCAGTTCTTCCAACTATCGCCAATTAAGTTAGCTTTTTTTGCAGAAACAGAAGTT